CAATCAATCAATCAATCAATCAATCAATCCCTTTTTTTTTTTTTTTTTCAAATTTTGCTTCTGCTTTTTTTTTTTAACACCTCATTTCCCTGCAAAAAACAGAAATTCATTTAAAAAAAAAACACAGGTCGACTCGGGGACCATATATCTCATGATAAAAAATGACAAAAAAAATTCCTGCTTTTCTTTATATATATATAATATTGTGACGATATATATATTTTGTTTAAATCGATTTTAGTTTTTTATTTTTAAAAAATCTTAAACAAAGTCAGATTCCAAAAAAAAAAAAATAGGAGTGTAGGGTTTTCCAAGCCCTACACCCCCATATTTTGTTTTTGTTTTTTTTACGTATTTTTAGGGAGGGGGGGGGAATATTGAAAAACCAGGACGCGGACCGGGCCTCATCGGTCGCAGCCGCGGCCGAGAATCTCGGCCGCAGCGGCCGAAATGCCCGCGGCCTAGGCGGCGGGTGTCACATAGCCTTAGGCTGTTCTTGAGTACCAGCCTCCTGCAAGGACCGTTTTTTTAAGGGAGCTCCGAAGGACCGACGGAACGCCCGGAATTTCCTTGAGTGCACCTCGAGTCTGGGCCGACAACCCAGGCTGGCTCTGTCTGGTAGTGAAGCTTCCAAACTCGTAGAAGCTCATGAAAAATTGTCGGATCCCATAGTGCTACTCTAGAAGTTCAAGAGTCTAGAGCACACGCCGCTTTTCTGGAGTCTGACAGCTCTAGACCAACTCGTGAAAAGTTGCATGAGTATAGAGTAGTGCAGCAAGACCCAAAGTATCGACCTACTCTAGGAATGCTATGATACGGGAGGAGAGGTCACACAGCACTATGCATAAAAATCCATCCCTTTTTCCTCTTCTCCCCCCCCGCCCGCCCCCTTACGAGCGCTGCCCACCAAACGTCGAATTCTCTTTTTTTTGGTTCTAGAAAGAAACAGGTCTAAAAGAAATATGCAATTGCGGGGACCTCCTGAGGTTCCCGCAAAATACGTAGGGTGCTACCATCTTCTCCCGAATAGAACGCCCCGTCATTATAGCTGCATTTGGCACAATGTTCAGTCCAGATGCGGCGAGTGCAGCAAGACCCAAAGTCTCGACCTGCTCTAGGAATGCTATGATACGAGAGGAGAGGTCACACAGCACTATGCATAAAAATCCATCCCTTTTTCCTCTTCCCGCCCCCCGCCCCCGCCCCTTACGAGCGCTGCCCACCAAACGTCGAATTCTCTTTTTTTTGTTTCTAGAAAGAAACAGGTCTAAAAGAAATATGCAATTGCGGGGACCTCCAGAGGTTCCCGCAAAATACGTAGGGTGCTACCATCTTCTCCCGAATAGAACGCCCGGTCATTATAGCTGCATTTGGCACAACGTTCAGTCCAGATGCGGCGATAATGACCCGGCGTTCTATTCGTGTGAAGACTGTAGTGTGAATATGCCCTTAGTTTCGCATCCCCATCAACCCAGTTGTGATAATTGAATGACATGGCCCACGGGAAAACATAATTGATAGATACTTTGGCCGTGCCTATTCCAATAGTTTTTCCCGTGGGCTGTATCTACAAGTTATCCCGACCCATTTCTACACCCCCATCCAGCCCTTCTGGCGAGGGCATTCTTTGGCTATGATGAGATCCGGGGGCAAGGAACCTACCCTCTCCAAGCTGTTTATGGAATTACTATTATTCGGCCTCCTTGTGGCGAAGAAGCAAGGGTTGACGATTTGTATTTAATAACTAGAAATGCTACTTAAGGCGGTGAGTGTCTGCTCTCTATCCTCAAAGGGCTTGCAATCCACGTAAATTTTGTGAAGAAGACCATTCATGGGGGAGGAGGCCGAAACGCATGGGGACATCCGCTGGGAAAGCTGCAAGCTTGGGAAGACTGGTGGAAGAGGCCCACCCGACGAACTTTTGGGCTGCTCATGCCCTACCAAACCAGAAGAATTTGGGCGTAAACAGCCCAACGTGTTTTCAGGTGGCATATTCTACCCATTGTGCCTTCGAGTTTCTTGACAATCATTTGTACCTCCTCTCTCTCATCGCTCCTCCTCTTCATCGTGTTATTCTTCTTCCTCATCCTTTTCCTCTCCCTTTTTCCTCCTACACCTCTGAGACTCCCCGTCTGTTTCCTCTCGTTTCCTTTATCATCTCCTTTGTTAATTCCCCATCTTCTTCCCTCTCCCCTCTATCCGGGCAGCTTCTTTTCATCGTCCATTTTTTCTGCTTTTGAATTCAATTTCAATTTGAAGATTGCTGTTGTCTTCTGCTGCTCCTCTCCTCGCATTGCTACTCCCCTTCATCTTGTTTCTCTTGTTCCTCGTCCCGTAGCTCTCCCTTTTCCCTCCTGCACCCCTGAGGGAATACTCACACGAGGACCAAAAGACCCGTAATTCCAAAATTTGAGTCAGTTTTCCGGTCACACTGGAGAGGCCCGCTACCCAAAAGCCTCAAACAGTGACCCTTTTGTCAGCGTCCTGAGGGGCCGCGGGAGGACCCTTTTTGAGACCACCTCCAGATGTGGTCTCAAATTACCTTCTTTTTTTTTTTTTTTTAATGTTTGCAAATTCAAGAAAATCATAGAAGAAGAAGACAGCCTGCCAAACAACTGGAAGTGCGACCAGAAACATTTAAGTTGTAGCGAAGGCCCACACTTATTGTTACATGCCTGATTGGGCAATGTACATACAAACCGAGGATCCGCAATGTGATAAAAAGGACTGAATGGACAATGCAGTGCAAGTAGAATCTCAACAAGCAATGTGCATTCTAATATATACAAAATGGTGCTGAATAGTGCAGGGAAGACTTAGATACAAAGCCTGACCTGACCGGGACTGACCTCATTCACATAGTATCAGATAGCGAAGCAGAATGCTAGAATGCTAATGACTAGCCCAATCAATGTTTGAACGCAGACCAAACATACATCGTATCCATCACCAGGTGTGAAGGAGCCTGGCGCTGTACACAGGAAGAAAGCGTCAGGTCCAGACATACACAGACGAAGAGGAAGGAATCAGACGAAAGGAGGGAGAGAGATGGGAATGTCGTCAACACCAAGTCTTTGTCACAAGTCCCAAATAATCCCTCTTTGCAATGTCTGAAGTCCAAAAGTCGAGTCTGGATCCGATGTCACCAAGCTCTTTCTCTCCTCTCTCGTAGTCTGCAGATGCAGTGAAGTCAGATGATGAGAGGGGGAGAGGGAGATGGTGGACTGAGAAAGGGAAGAAGAAGAACTCTCTCTCTCTGTTACGAGCCAGATACTAACCTGTGATGTTGGCGCTGTGCTGCAGGTACCTTGAAGACGAAGCTGGAGCAACGGCGCTGCAGGTAAGTACCTCTGGCCTCCACCCAATCTCTCTCTCTCTCTAGTGCTATCCTAGCTATGGCGCCCAGCGCTGGAGACTACAGCTACCTACTGCGCTTAGCGCTGAAGACTGAAGGCTAACGCTACTACTACTCCTACAACGCTCCCTCCAGAGTGTTGCGGCCCAATCTTGAAGACTACTGCCTCCTGCCTGCCCGTGAAGTGCATGGGAAGTCCCTATGTACTAACTCGGCCTGCCTCCTGACTGGGATAATCGGTAGAAGGCGCCCACGCCAAAAGCTTTTTGGTTTTGGCCGCCCAAAGTTTAGTCGTTTGGTACTACCGGCGCAATGACTTGCATGTGGGGTACTACAGGCCCACGCGTCGCTCCAAGCGTCCTACCGGATCATGAATATGGCGCATAACAGGGCCAGATTTATTTTGATGTAAAAGAGGTCGAGGGTGGTAACGCGGAAGTATCAAATGAGGCCCACGTACGCGATTTTGAAAAAGAAGGGCCCTACCGGTTCATGAATCTGGCGCTGAAACAGCGCCAAATTCTTGAACCGGTAAAAACAGGCCCAGAAAGATTTGGCCACAACGCGAAGGCGCCTTTCACCCAGGGGAAAGTTGTTTGGGCCGGTAGTACCAAACGGCCAAAAATTTGGGCGGCCAAAACCGAAAAGGTTTTGGCGTGGGCTCTTTCTACCAATTATCCCCTCCTGACTGCCTGAAGGGCGAGCCAAGCCGAGGAGGCTGCTCTTACCAATGCCGAATGTGCCAGGGGCTGGCGCTGCAGCAGCTGCTGAGGCTAGCGTGGGGAATAGGCTAAGAATAGCCTGTTCCCGAAACCCTGGTGTGGTGCCTGAGTTTCAGTGCCGGTCGTTCTGATGAACGACCGAAACTGGCTCTTCGTTTCAGGCTAAAAGGGTTGTTGCCATTTTTAGTCTGAAACGACACAGGGACTGTAGGCCCCTGTTTTCAGGCTTTCGGGCTGAACAGTCACCAGGCCTGTAGGCCCTCGTTTTCAGGCTTTTAGCCTGAGGGACGCAGGGCCTGGAAAATGGCCCTCGTGTGCAAGCGCAGCATGTAACACCCCCCCCTCCTTATGAAGTCAAGTCGGGGAGAGGGCGCAGCCGACGATCTGAAGGTGGAACCTGGACGCGGGCGCGACGTGGAGCCGAAGAGACCTGCTTGCCTTGCATCTTGCGTTCATAGCGTGCGAGAACGTCTGACGCTGTTGCTTGAAGTTCCCCACGGGTCAACCAATGGTCAGCTCGGTGTGTGCAGTATGCAAAATGCACCAAATACTCGGTTGGCCTGTTGTCGTAGCGTCGCTGGGAGATGATGTCGCCGACCTCCTTAAAACCGTCCATAGAGGGTGGGTCTTGCGAACGTCTCCCGGGAAAATCGTCATGTTCCGCTGGCGTGTATAGAGTCAACTTGGAGCAATGAAAGACTGGGTAGACGGGCAAGTGGGCGAGCACTTGAATCGTGAAGGAAGGTCCCTCGAGTGCGTCCCCAGCGGGCGCTACGATCGGCCAAGGCCTCATCCATTTCGGGAGGAGCTTGCGAGAGATGTCTTGTTCAAGGCTGAATTCCGCTGCGGAAACCCACACGAGGTCGCCGGCGCGGAATGGGGAAGGAAGACACTGGCGATTGGCCTGCTGGCTCATGCATTGCTGCGTCTTATACTCTTAACCATCTTGTCGCGTGCCTCGACAAGAAGCTCTTGCATCCGACTCAAGAAAAGAAGATGGTCGTCGCTCTCGGTCGTTCGTGGAGTGATAGTGTCCAACGGTGAAGTGACCGGCGAGCCGTGCTCAAACTCGAAAGGCGATATCCCGATAGTTGGGTGGATGGAAGAGTTGTAGGCCAACTCGACATCCGACAGCTGCTCAACCCTGTCCTTCCGGTCCGAACGAATGAGAGTGCGAAGGAGAACCTGTGCGGTCTGGTTTGTCCTCTCCTTCTTGCGTGCATCGTCAATGGAATGCAGGACGAGCACTTTCTTGTTGAAATACTCGACCGGGTGCCAGTCCACACCCTCATGTTGCTCGAGGACTGCACCAATGCCATAGCCTGAGGCATCCGTAGTGACGCGCGTAGGCAAAAGCGGGTCGTATATCCGCAAGACCTCCGCAGACAAAAGCGCCGCTTTGAGAGCCAAAAATGATTCTCGCGCCTCCTCTCCAAAGTCAAATGGTCGATCCTCGCATTGAAGCTTAGTCAAGTGGGTCGCGGTCTTCGAGTAGCCTTTGATGAAACGCTGATAGTAGCTGGCGAGACCCAGGAACGAGCGGACATCCGTGACGTTCCGAGGCTCCGGCCACTCTTGGATGGCTTGAATCTTGTCCGATAGTGGACTGAAGCCCTCCGGTGTGTCACTGACAAAATGGCCCAAGTATTCCAGGTCTTGGACAAATTCGCACTTGTCGCGGTTGGCCTTGTACTTGGTGAGGCGGAGCGTCTCCAACACTCGTCGAAGATGCCCAAGGTGATCCTCCAATGACCGGCTATAGACGAGAATATCGTCTAAGTAGACCAGCACGAACCGGTTCAACATTGCACGAAACTCATTGATCATTGCCGCTTGGAAGGTCACCGGGGCATTGGTGAGGCCAAAAGGCATGACCACCCACTCAAAATGCCCGTACCGCGTCTTGAACACGGACTTGTAGCAATCGTTCGGCCGGATCGAGATTTGATGATATCCCCAAATCCAACTTAGAAAAATACTTTGCGTTGCCCGGTCGCTCAAGAAGATCGTCGATGCAAGGAAGAGGCCCCGCATCCTTGACGGTTTGCGCGTTAAGCTTGCGGTAGTCGATACACAACCGTAGATCCTTTTTCTTCTTCCGGACGAAGAGAACCGGTGCTCCATTTGGGGAGCTGCTAGGGCGGATCCAGCCCTTGGCCAATTAATCGTCGAGTTGTGCGCGGAGGACCTCAAGCTCTTCCTCGCTCATGCGATAGATGCAACCTTTCGGCGGCACGACACCGGCCTCAAGAATGATCTCGTGAGAGATCGGCCGATCCGGCACCACACCGGTAGGTGACTCGAAGATGTTGGCGAACTCATCCAGCAACCACACCACCCGGGGGTCCGAGGACAAGTATGTGGGTAAAGCGTCGGCTATCACGACGGTCTATAGGAAACATAGGTTGATCTCCTCGGGCTACTCGTAAGAGCAAGTTGCCCTGAATGATTTGGCCATCACCACTTGCCACCGAATCGAAGGGTGCGGTAGAGGAGTAGTACACACCACTTCCGCGCCGACGGCGTCGCGAACGCTAAGAGTCCAGAGGTGGAAGTTGACCGTGTGATCCGCACTTGCAAGCCAAGACATTCCCAGAATAATCTCGAAGTCCGTGTCGAGAATATCGAATGTAACCGGTTCGCATGCATGAGATGCGAAATAGACCGGTACGGCCTCGATGTAACGGTCGACAAGTTGTTGTGTTTTCCCATCCGCCAACTTGATCGCCGTCAGATTTGCCTTCTTCTGAACTTGTGCGCCAAGGCCAGCCCTTTGCATAAAGGATTGACTCATGAAATTGCGAGACGCGCCACTATCCAGCGAAGCGTTGCAGGACTCTTGCCCAACTTGAATGCGGACATACATGAGCGGTGTGTTGTTGTCATCGTACCGCTAAGTGCGAAACTCGCAGGCCACCTTGGTAGTATACGCAAGGATTTCACCCACCGCGACTTCGTCCTCCGTCGGCGAAGTTGGTGGTGCATATAAGGATAAGTAAGTGTGGAGATAAGCGCATAGTGTTAAGCATTGCGGTCCCGGTATCGCGCGCGGCAATCCCACACCCAGACGTAAAGTAGTTTTTCGTGTTGGAACTCACGGTCGTGTCACGCAAGAGTTTCTTTTTGTCACTTTACGCAATACCAACTCCGACCGTGCACACGTGCTATACCTCTCGCGACTCCCTACGACATGTTAGGGATCCCGCAAGGTACAACATACCTCCACCTGCGGGAGTTGTCACCATCCCTTAGGTGGGCGTATCAATGCTGAGCTACTGACCCACGTGCGAAGGATTTTACATGCAATCGCAGAGGTAGGTCAGTCGAGGGCGTTTTCTCGATCGCCGTAGCATAGGCATACGCGCGGAAGAACGCCTTAAAACTGACCCGTATGTCGTGCCCCGAGGCGCTTATTCCCCCAACCGACTATTAATCAGGTCGACTTTTCTATGAAAGTCTTCCACGCTTAACTAACTATGACAATAACTCAACGTTTACTTAGCTCATCATGTGAGAATGTTAGGATCAATTCCCTTTGTAGTCTCCTATCCTCTCAAACAGAAGCCTAGACAAATAACTTTCCAATCTTGACTGACTACGATCCCATTCATAAGTATATATATATATATATATATATATATTGTATGTATGTCAATCAAGGGAGCTGACTGAGCGGTGGACCTCACTTTCACAATTGTTGTGTCCCTTTGCCTGAATATCTCAGAGGATCTCAAATTCAGAAGACATCACAAATGTCCAACACCTTTGCAATGCAAGAAACCACATACAAGCAAACAGATGCAGACACAGAATGCGCTACAAGCGTCAACCTTTAACCCATTCATAGCAAGCCACTCACGCCCCAAACCCTTGAAAACAACATTCCTTCCTAACCGTGACTTCTTTTACCCCTGCCCCCACAGTTTTGGATAATTAAGGCATAGACACAGGGGGAAGATTTATCTGTTTCCTTCTTAGGTTTTCTCTTAGGTGTGGGTGTCAAGCCATGGTGGAAGTTGAGTCTGAGTTCTATCGACCTTTTATCAAATTATAACAAAATTAATTTTCTTACGGATTCCCCGTAAGTTCTCCGAAGTGTCGAAACCTGTAAACACAACACAGTCCAACAGAAACTTAACATCTTTGTTCCTAACTGAGATCTAGAAAGTTTCCTTCTAGACTCTGTGTTTTCTCTCTGACTCGTATCCTTAACTAATCGTTTGGGCTGTTGCCCTTCCGCTTCAGGTAGTGAATAATAGTTCACCCCCCTTTTTACTGTCACAGTAATTCTCCGTATCACTTTCACTATCTCATTCCTTTTCGTTTTTTGGATTATCATGTCTAAGTTCCCTTCCTTCTCCAAGTTCTCCCAACACACATGAACACATCATCAGTCCAACCTGTGGAAAGAATCTCATGGAAAGAAAATCAGACAAATGAATAGTCTCTCTCTGTAGTAAGATCTCACTTATCCCCTCTCAGTAGAATCAGAGATAGTTAGTTAGGACTGAACAATGCAGATTGTGGAGAAAGTTAGAAGTGGTATGGCAGACCATTCAGGATATATCCACTTGTTACTAGAACTTGTTTGACAAAGACAAATCTTGTGGGTCTTGGCCCTTGTGAGCCAAAGCACACTTAGCGGTAGGCTTATCCTATGGTTACTCACTAATAAGGCAGGTATCCCTGAAACTTCACTACTCTTATATCAGATTAGTCACTGATAAGACAGGATTCCCCTCCTACTCTTATTACTGGCTAGCCCTCAATAAGGCGGGTGTCCAAGAATCCTTGCTATTCTTATCATTGACTAAGCGCTAGGATGTTTACTGATAAGGCAGGTGTTCTTGAAACCTCACAACTCTTATATCAGACTAGTCACTGATAAGAGAGGATTTCCCTGCTTCTCTTATCACTGGCTAGCCCTCAACAAGGCGGGTGTCCAAGGATCCTTACTACTATTACCACTGAATGAATGTTAGGTTGATCAATGATAAGGCAGGTGTCCTTGAAACCTCACAACTCTTATTTCAGACTAGTCGCTGATAAGACAGGATTCCCCTGCAACTCCTATCAGTGGCTAACCCTCAATAAGGCGGGTGCCCTAGGATCCTTGCTTACTCTTACCATTGAAAATAATGTAAGGTTTAATCAGTGATAAGGCAGGTGTCCTTGAAGCCTCACAACTCTTATATCAGACTAGTCACTGATAAGACAGGATTCCCTGTCGCTCTTATCAGTGGCAAACCCTCAATAAGGCAGGTGTCCAAGGGTCCTTGCTTACTCTTACTACTGAAAAGAATGTTAAGTTCGTTAATAATAAGTTAGGTGTCCTTGAAACCTCACAACTCTTATATCATACTCGTCACTGATAAGACATGATTCCCCTGCTACTCTTATCTGTGCCTAGCCCTCAATAAGGCAGTTGTCCAACGGTCCCTGCACTTATTATTAACCAAGTGTAAGGCTCATTTGGAGTAAAGGTAGGCTTTCCCTGCTATTCTTACATCGACACAAGTCTTACCTATGACTCAAGTCATCGCTTTTGATGACATTCGAGCCCTGAATCGTTGTTAGTTTGAGAACTTATGTTTGGATCAGGCGTATGACAAGAAATAATTGACATTGATCATCATCGCTGCATTCAATCACAACAGGCTGAACCAAGTGAAACCCATTATCATTAAGCGGCGTATAGAAAGAAGAATATGAGTAATCGATCCCCTTTGCATCCACGTCCCCAAAGAACACCCACATAGCAAGATCGTTGTACCCTTGTTACTAACATAGTCATAGGTAGCAGCCAAAAGGTTACAGATTTAGGGTTTAGGGTTTAGGGTTTATGTTGAAGCACACATACCTCACTGTTCCCTGCCTCCAGAGTTCCACCTGAACTCCAGCAGAGCTCCCGCAATCGCCTTGTCATTGGTCATATACAACTCATGCAATCGATTGCTGGGCTCTTAGGGTTAGCTAAGGTAAGGGTTAACTATACGGGGATCAGACCCTTATCAACAAATCGAGGGGCATGTATCTGAAAGGTCCGCACAATGACAAGTATGGAGGAGGATGGAGGAGGTGGGCACCATGATAGCATCTCTCTCCTCTCCAATGCCCCATACTTTCCTTTTCTGACTCTGTATGATGCCGAATGATAACAATCAGAATAACGACACAAAATAATAAAGATAATAATAATAATAATAATAATTAAAAAAAAAAAATAATAATAAAAAAAAAATAACAATATTAACGATAATAATAAGTAATATTAGTTATAATAATCATAATAATAATAATTGCGAGGCATACGAGCATGACGATATACAGAACCAAGTTGCAAACTCACACAGATGTCCGAGTAGAGATGTACGGACTGAGTGTAGAATCCGTCAAAATGGGGAGACACTAAGAAACAACAGGCCAATGCTCGCATCCAATGGCCACATCAACAAAGCATTCAGGGTCGCTCTTCCCTCGCCTTGCACCCAGCCCGCGTGTCTGTCTGTCCATCTCAACCGTTTGCGTGTCTAAGGCTGTTGGTTGGTCTCAGACCGTGTTTGTCTCCGGTTGGGTCTATACTACTCTAGACTGTGCCTGTCCCAGTCTGTGTCTTGTACTAATTCAGACTGTGTCTGTCCCAGTCTGTACGGTACCACTTCATACTGTGTCTGTCCCAATCTATACGGTACGTTCCCGCAGTGCGACTGCACTTAGTCAGCGGTGCGTCCTTATGCAACCAGCGGTATAACCGCGCTCAGTCCAGGTCCAGTCAAGCAAGTACGGTATGGGACTGTGTGCACCATGGGTATGGAAAAAGGGCAGACCAACTAGTTTCAGAAGTACAAATCAGGAGGCAGCGTCCCGCCTTTCATTCATTCCTGCATGAGCCATGCG